GTTCATATTAGAAATTCAAGGCATTACCCCTACTCCGCCTTGCTACTCCACTTTACCGCATATCAAGTACTAGTCACCTCTTACTCCTACCCTCAACTTTTACCACCTCCCCACTGCGTTTACATTTATTCTTATTCCTCCATGGCGATGCCGAGCTGGTCGGCTCTAATTACTTACACTTGACTTCAACCATAAATCTGCCGATACATTTAAACCATTCGCCTTTGCCTCCTTCGGGTTTACATCATTGACTCTCTGCTCCATTATTTCATACTGACCCACCCACCAATTCACCCACAATAGAGTTTTGCACCAACAGTGACATAGTTTGCAGAAAGACTACTTTCTTTGATGGATGTCTCACCCGAGATCACTTCAAACATGCTTAAGTGATACGTAAAGAGCATACATTAAAAATCCACCAACTCGAGAAATGCATCTCAGAGCATAGCATACGTAAATTTATTGAGGCGGAAGCTTAAAACAGCCATCAAGTCAAGAAAAGTGAAAGGTTAAGGAAGGGTATTAGGTGACAAGAAGAGATCATATTTGGTGCACTTTCAAGGGTAGGAGATAAAGTCAGGAAAATGTGCGTGTCCTGTGACTAAGTGTGAAACTGAGAGAATAGCAGCGAAGGGGAGTGAGGGTGTGTGATGCGGTGTTAACGAGCTGAGGTTAGAACGTATTTGCTGCTAGACAGAGGTGCTTTATTAACCAGTGTAGGAGATGTAAACAACATATGTTATATCTGCTAGAGAAGCAAACTGATATATCTTTGATATTTTTTACAGTTATTTGCCTTTTACCCAGGTAGCATGATACTAAAACGGAGCATAAATAAGAAGCAAAACTTCCAAATTGGCGCAGTTGGTTTTCTTTTACAGCCACGATTATGTGGATAAGAAAAGTCCTGTGGAGGATGGAATGAAATATGGTGTGTGGCAAAGCCCTACGTTTTTACAAGTTCGACCAGAATTGTAACCCTCTCCCCAACAAAATGCTAGTAGTGCAAAAACGACTAAACAAAACAAATTATGTTGAAGATGGTGAACTCGACCGGACTGCTTTTAAGGACCATTACAACTTCTAATATGTACTACAAAATGAATTATGACACAATGTTCACAGTGTCTTCAACTCTGAAGGGCCTTCTCTTCTGATATCCTAAAACTTCCCTGTTTCAGTTCCTTTCCTATATTTACCAGTTTTGAGACTCGAGCTATATCTTAGTTCTCTTGATTGCCGAGGTTTGTATTATCTCACTTCTTCGCTTAGAGGTAGTCACATAAAGTTGGTTTTTTGCGAAATATGCAGGAGTATTGGTTATTTAGTAGGGTCTCCTCGATCCCTAGGGAATTTTCCTAGACATATTACTACTTTGGACAGCGCCAAAGCCTTGGCGGTGTAAAATCGTCTTTGATTCCTGATTTGCCACTGATTAGTCGATGCAGAGTTATCAAATTCACTATTTTATGGAGCAAGGTTGCAATGGTCCATTTTCCCTGGGTAGTTCCAATGAACCAAAAAAATCATTTAAGTTGTACTCCCTCTCTTATTAAGCCTTATTCTGTCACTAATCTGAATTTTATAATTTCATAATTTATTAACAATTTCCTGGGCTGCAAACAGATTTTTCTTCAAAGTTAGTAAATCTGTTTTGCGGCAAATTCTTTTTAAATTACATCATATAGCAGAAATGGGAAGAGAATTGGCCAAGTTTTAAGGAGACATACCGTTTTTCACGTCATTAATATCACCATAGGATTTACTGATTAATCCGATAGATTAGGAGGACGGAAGCCCTCAGATACCTCTAGAAGGATGCCTTTCTGCTATCCAACGCAAACGATCCTTTAGACTTCCTACCCGACATATTGTGGCCCTCTAAGCTATTTTTGTAATAGAGATACTGGCAAGTAGCAGAACTGGGAGAGGAAAGACGGTTTCATCTTATCAAACCGGCTTTATGCCTTTTAGACGATGTTATTTGGACACAATAGGGCAGCAACCACCTTCATTTGTCACTATGACATCTGTGTACCTCATTTCACTTTAAATCAATCAACTGGCCAAAATTTCAACTTGATACAGCTGAAATTAATAGTAGCGAAAATAAATATATTAATTGGCTAAAGAAAGCACATATCGTTGCAGGCAATAGGAGTAGGAACAGCGATTATGGCAGTGAGTATTTAAGCAAACGCATGGACCCGAGAAAGCCTATAATTGGAGAGGTTGCTGCAGAAAACGCATGTTGTTGCCGACTAATAAACTGCCTGTCAGCCCATATATTCAAAAACTATTATTCTACATAA